CCCCAAACAAATGAACTTAAAAGATGTTTACAGAGTGTTCCACCCCACAAAATCAGTATATACATTCTTTTCACCTGGGTATTTCTCCAAGACAGACCACATACTAGCTCAAAAAACTGGTTTAAATAAATGCAAAAGAATCGAAGTTATCCCTGTATATTATCATATCATAGTGCAATTAAGCTGGAGATCAATAGCATAAGAAACCGTACGAACTTCACAAACACATGGAAATTGAGCAACACTCTCCTGAACAATCAATGACTCACAGAAGAAATTAGACAGTTTTTATAAATAAATAATAACGTCAAAACAACACAGGCATCTATAGGATACAATGAAAGTAGTTCTATGAGGGAAATTCATAGCAGTGAATGCCCACACTAGGAAAACAGAATGAGCTCAAATAAACAACCTAATGATGAATATTACACTCCTAGAAAAAGAAGAGCAAGAAAAACCCAAAGCTCATACAAAGGAGGAAATTATAAAGATTAGAGCAGAAATCAATGCAATGGAAACTAAGAAAACAATACCAAAAAATCCATGAATCAAAGAGTAGGGTTTTTGAAAGAATAAATAAAATCGATAAACCCTTAACTAACCTCGTGGAAAAAAAGGAAAGAAAAGGCTCAGATCCATGCAATTAGGAACGAAAAAGGTCCCAATAGACCCAGCAGAAATCCAGAGGATCATTAATACCTTCTTTGAGAACCTGTACTCTAATAAAATGGAAAACACAGAAGAAATGGACGGATTTCTCCATACTTATCCATTACCAAAACTGAACAAAGATAAAAAAAATTCTACACACCCCAATTATACTCAGTGAAATTGAAAACATAATTAAAAGTTTACCAACAAAGAAAAGCCCAGGTCCTGATGGATTCACTGATGAATTTTACAAGACATTTAGAGAAGAACTACTGCCTTTACTCTTCAAACTTTTCAGTGAAATTGAAATGGAAGCAGTACTTCCAAATTCATTCCTGGAAGCAAGTGCTACTTTGATTCCCAAACCAGGGAAAGACCAAACTAAAAAAGAGAACTATGAGCCAATCTCCTCCATGAACACAGATGCAAAAATCCTTAATAAGATACTGGCAAACAGAATACAGCGGGTCATCAAGAAGATCAAACCCCCTGACCAAGTTGGATTTATTCCAGGGATGCAAGGATGGTTCAACATAAGTAAACCAATTAAGAGAGTCAAGGACAAAAACCATATGACCATCTCAATAGATACAGAAAAAAGCAGTCAACAAAATTCAACACTCATTCATGATAAAAACCCTGGAAAAATTGGAATAGATGGTCTATATCTCAACATAATAAAGGCTATCTATGAAAAACCAAAAGCAAACATCATATTAAATGACCAGAAACTGAAAACCATCATGTTAAAAGCAGAAACAAGACAAGGAAGCCCACTATCACCACTCCTCTTCAATATAGTTCTGGAAACATTAGCCACAGCAATTAGACAAGAGAAAGAAATTAAAACAATAAAGATAGGAAAGGAAGAAGTTAAACTGTCATTATTTTCTAATGATATGATACTCTACATTGAAGACCCCAAAAATTCCACCAAAAGACTTCTAGACTTAATTGACATATTTAGCAGAGCAAATGGATATAAAGTCAACACTCAAAAATCAACAGCCTTCTTATACACAAATAACAGACTCACTGAGAGAGAAATTAGAGGAACAGTACCTTTCACAATAGCATCCCAAAAAATGAAGTATCTAGGAATCAATCTAATGAAAGAAGCAAAAGACCTCTACACTAAAACCTACAGCACTCTGAAAAAAAGAGCTAGAAGAGGATATAAGAAAATGGAAAGATATCCCCAGCTCCTGTGTAGGAAGAATCAACATAGTGAAAATGGCGATACTACCAAAACTGCTATACAGATTCAATGCAATGCCAATTGAATTCCAACGCTGCATATCACAGAACTAGAAAAAAGAACCCAAAAATTCATTTGGAACCAGAAGAGACCTAGAATAGGAAAAGCCATCCTAGGGAACATAGACATGATAGTGGGTATAATACTTCCCAATTTGAAACTATACTACAAAGCCACTGTGATAAAAACAGCATAGTACTGGCAAAGAAACAGATCTGAGGATCAGTGAAATAGATTGGAAGATACAGAAACACCACCAGATGTACTCAGCTACCTCATCTTTGACAAAGGAACCAACCATCCCCACTAGAGGGAAGACAGCCTCTTTAATAAATGGTGTTGGAAAAACTGGATTTCAACCTGCCAAAGATTAAAACTAGACCCTAATCTTTCACCATGCACTAAACTAAAATCCAAACAGATTAAAGATCTAAATATTAAAAAATAGACACTAAATTTGCTGGAAGATAAGTTAGGCAGAACTCTTGAAGACACTGGCATAGGAAAAGGCTATGAACAAATCCTCAGTAGCACAGGAACTACCACAAAGAATCAACAACTGAGATCTCATCTTATTAAAAAGCTTCTGCACTGCAAAAGAAACCACCAACAGAGCTGAGACAACCTACAATGTAGGAAAAAAATTTTACCAGCTGTTCCTCTGACAAAGGACTATTGTCTAGAATATATAAAGAACTCAAAAAAAACAGGCCCCCCAAATATAAAGACCCGATTCAAAAATGGGCATCTGGCCAGCGTGGTGGCACCTGCCTACAATCCCAGCACTCAAGAGGCTGAGGCAGGAGGATCACTGTGAGTTTGAGACCAGCCTGGGCTACATAGTGAGTTCCAGGTCAGTCTCAACTACATAGTGAAACCCTGTCTCAAAAAACAACAGAAAAAAAGGGGAATCTGAAATGAACAGACATTTCTCAGACAAAGAAGTAAAAGCATCAAATAAATACGTGAAAAAGTGTTCCACGTCACTGGTCATTCGAGAGATGCAGATGAAAACAGCACTGAGATTCCACCTCACCCCTGCTATCAAGGGGTGCTATCAAGAAATCGAACAGTAACAAATGTTGGTGGGGTTGTGGGGAGAAAGGAACCCTTCTCCATTGTTGGTGGGAGTACAGACTGGTGCAACCACTGTGGAAATCAGTACAGAGATACCTCATAGAACTAGGATTAGAGGTTCCATTTGACCCAGCCATCCCTCTGCTGGGTATCTTTCCAAAAGAATTAAAAGAATCATACCACAGTGATATATGCTCACCCATGTTTATAGTGGCACAGTTTGTAATAGCTAAAATTTGGATACAGCCTAATTGCCCAACCTTTGGAGACTGGATAACAAAGATGTGGTTTTTCTATAAAATGGAATACTACTCAGCCATAAAGAATGAGAAATTAGAGTCATTCATAGGAAATGGATACATATTGATGCCATACTCTTAAGTGAAATAAATAAGTCACACATGTGTAAATACCAAATAGTTTCTCTAGTGTGAAAAACTAAAAGTGTAAATAAGATCCAAATGGTATAATTGACAATGTGAAATCGAAGAAAAGGGCTAAAGGCATTGGGGAATTTGGAAGGGTAGGGGAAAGGAAATAAGGGAAAAGAAAAAATATGAGAAAATGAAAAAATGGAAATAAAGTTTTTGTAAATAGGGAAGGGAAGAGGGAGTGAAGGGAGGGCAGGGGTATGGGGGGATAATGAGAAGCAAGACCTGTCATGTAAAGGTACACGATCCCAATGATGAATGTAACTGTACTGTACACCTAAAAAAGTACCAATAAACTCAATGAGAAAAAAATAAAATAAAATGGAGTACTACTCAGCCATAAAGAATGTGAACTTAGCCGGGCGTGGTGGTGCACGCCTGTAATCCCAGCACTCTTGAGGCTGAGGCAGGAGGATCGCTGTGAGTTCAAGACCAGCCTGGGCTACACAGTGAGTTCCAGATCAGTCTCAACTACACAGTGAGACCATGTCTCAAAAAACCAAAAAAAAAAAAAGAATGAAAAATTAGAGACATTTATAGCTAAACGGATGCACATTGAAGCAATATTCAAGTGAAATAAATAGGACACACATGTAAATCCTAAAGTTTCTCTAGTGTAAGAAACTGAAAGTGTAAATAAGGACTAAAAGGTGTAACAGACAATGTGAAATAGAAAAGGGGCAAAGGAGAAGGAGAAGTGGGAGGGTAGGGGAAAGAAAAGGGGAATGGAATTAATAAGAAAATGAAAAAAATGGAAACAAAGTCTTTGTAGATAGGGAGGGATGGAGGGGTTGAAAGGAGAGCAAGGATTCAAATGGGTAAAAAATAAGAACCAAGATGGATTACGTAAAGGTGCAAATTTCCAATGATGAATGTCATTATGTTGTATACCTTAAATGTACCGATAATATTAATTTAAAAAAAAAGAAAAAGAAAAAGAAACGCCGTTCTCATTACCCTTAGACGATGGCCCATTTTTACCGTGGTCAAATTCACACACACACTCATTTCCCAGTTTCCCATTCTTGGTAATTAGGAAGAGGTAATCAGTAGAAACAATACACTTGTTGAAGCAAACTCACCTCAAACCTCTCCTGTCCCCCGCCCTGTTCCCCCTGCCCCAAATCCCTTCTCGGGGGTCACCCTAAGACAGGCTCACCTCGGCCTAGGGGACCCCTGCTCCTGCCCAGTGGAAGTGGCCCGCCCACCTTCCTAGACCCGGGGCTCTCGGCTTCCGGCCGCCCCGGGTCCTGCGGACGCTGGGTCAAGCTCCCGGCGGGACATCGGTTTTCGGCAGTGCCCACGCCTGGCGCCCCTGCCCCAAATCCCTTCTCGGGGGTCACCCTAAGACAGGCTCACCTCGGCCTAGGGGACCCCTGCTCCTGCCCAGTGGAAGTGGCCCGCCCACCTTCCTAGACCCGGGGCTCTCGGCTTCCGGCCGCCCCGGGTCCTGCGGACGCTGGGTCAAGCTCCCGGCGGGACATCGGTTTTCGGCAGTGCCCACGCCTGGCGCCCCCCCAGGGGACAAGACCGAGCCCGGCTCGAACGCGGGCCACGGGGAGGTCCGACTCGCGACTCACCATCTTGCGCTGCTGGTCTCCGGGGCTCCCCACAGGGCGCCGGGCCTGTTGACACCACTCGTCTGCGCGAAGCCAAGGAACCGCAACACCCTAACGCGGAGCTAACAGTACGTTCACTGGGACGCTCCTCCCGCCAGTGAGCCTGATTGGACAGAGCTCCACAATGGCGCTCACCTCGGATTGGCTAGTGCGGCAAACCCCGCCCCCTGAGCCCTGAGTGACAGGAAAGGGACTACCTTCCTGGCCGGAAGGAAGCTGAAGCGCAGTTTCCGGCCCGCAGCCCCTCCCAGTTCAGGACTCCTTACAGAGCTGGGACCGTCACCGCCTCTGGGCGAGTTGTGCTGAAGCTGAACTCCTCCTGGCTGTCCAGAGTGGGCGCTGCCTTCTTCCTGTACTCAGTGGACCCTTCCAACGATGACAAAGTAAGTCCAGGGAATTCCTAACTCCCTGTCCCATAGAGACAAGTCCTGTCCTCAGGCAGGACAGGAAAGGTACCGGACTGTCGGATGTCATGCGTCTCCATCTTGTGTTCAGGGTGTTGGCTTCATGGCCTCAGCTATTAACTGACCCATTTTCAGAGAAGAAAATGAAAGGACTTCAGTAATGTTTGTGGTTGTTAATAGAAACTGGATATTTGAAAGAAATACCCTGCAAAGCAATCGAAATGGTCGACAGGTATATATATATTTGATCCTCCTGAGACACTCAGTGTCCTTTATCCAGTGTCAAAACAAAAACATACATTCAGAAGGTTCAAGGAATGGATCTCCTGCCAAGCTCCACAGCCAGCCTGACTGCTGAGATGGAGCTTCCTGCAGCATCCATCCCTGGTGCTGCAGCTCAGGCACAGAGGAATTTAAATCAGAGCTTACTATGCCCTGAGTTCCCCCTTCCCAAGGTGGAAACTCCTTCTTCACCTTAATATTCTCTGAGGGAAATGCGTAATTTAAGTTACTCCCCTGAAGAATCTGAAAATTTTATAAAGCCTTTCCCCAGGAGATGACCCACAGGAGTGCTTAGCCTGGCCTCCACAGGTTTCCTCTGTATGTACACAGCACAGAGTGAGTGCAGTCAGGGTGACAGCTAGTATTTAAACAATAAGAGTTGATCGAAGTGAAGACAACACTGTTTAATTTGTTTTCTTTTTCTCTGGATTAGATTTTTTGTTGTTGTTTTTTGAGACTGGGTCTCACTGTGTAGTTGAGACTGCCCTGGAACTCACTATGTAGCCCAGGCTGGTCTCGAACTCACAGCGATCCTCCTGCCTCAGCCTCCCCAGTGCTGGGATGACAGGCGTGCGCCACCAATCCCCGGCGGCTATCTCTGTTACAACCTCTTGTAGGTTGTAACAAAAGCAGTAAAGCAATCTTGTACAGCCTCAGTTCTGAAAAATGCAATGAAAGAAATTACATGGAGAAAGCAGTACGGCTAACTGAAATGGAACAAGGAGACTTGGTGTCATGAGACCCAAGTATTAGGTTAATTTTAAATTGCAGTGAATAACATTCAAGGAAGATGGCAGGATAGGAATCATAAGGAGTCTGCCTCCCCACCCAGATACAATTTCAGCAGCAGAATACTTTGGATGTGTGTGTTTTGGGACTGTGAAGCCTACTAAAGCTCTAATTTCCACAGAAAGAATTAGATGTAATTTGTGATCATTATATATGTCAGAAGTGTACCAATAAAATTTATAAAAAAGGAATTAGACATAATTTGGGCTCAATTTTAGTCCATTTTACTCTTAGGGAAATAGGAATTTCCCATGCCCCAGTACCCACTCCGTAGAAGGCAACTGCATGTGATTTAAAGGATCAGCTCACGGGCAGTGAGAGGAGCCAGAGTGAAAAAGAGAACTCTTCCCTGCATTACTGAGGTCTTTGCTCTCCTTTCTAATTTGTAATGGTGAGGAGCATGGTTAATGCACCTTACACTATTGCCAGAAGGTTTCTGTCCCACTATCTAATGTGATTTCCAGTGCACTAAAAAGGCTGATTGCTTTCATTTACCCCTTCATTTTCTGTTTTTCTCCTAGGTATAAAGCATCAAAAAAGAGTTAATGCAAGCTGGGTGTGGTGGTATATGCCTGTAATCCCAGCACTCAGGAGGCTGAGGCACCAGGATTGCTGTAAGTTCAAGACTAGCCTGGGCTACATGGTAAGTTCCAGGGCAGTCTGAGCTGCATAATGAGACCCTGTCTCAAAAAAAAAATGAGTTAATGCAAAACTAATTACATAAATAGAGAAAATGAAAAAATCAGCATAAATATGCAAGAAAGGCACAACTAAGAAGAATTCAGAAAAATCAGTACATTCCTGATCAGGCTGTCCAGAGGCTCAGAGATACCTAAAGCAATTTGAGAAATGAATAAAACCAAGCAACCTGGTTTCCAGGATAACCACATTCTAATACTTGGAGTTTTGCTTTTCCAGAGATTAGCACAATGCTATCAAACAAATAGAAATATGGTTCATTCAAAAAAACAGAGTAAGTTCATAGAAACCCTCCCTGGAAAATCCCAGTTGCTACATGTACTAGAAAAAATTCCAAAACATCTGCTATAAACTCTTGAAAGTGACAAAAGAATGCATGGCCAAAAACAGTGAAAATTTTTGGTCAAAATGAAAATGTAAATATGTAAATTATGAATGAAACTAAAGGGAAATTGTGGTCAGATAAGTATAACTATTGTGAGAAATTCGCTGCAAGGGATTATAGCAGAGTCAACACATGAGAAAAATAGTGAACTTGAAGGTGCAGTTATTGAAATTATTAAACTTCGAACAGTAAGGGAATATGATGAAGAAAAATGGAAAGAATTCAAAATACCAGTAAAATGCCAGCAAACTGAGGCATTTATGCAGATGTTAACTGTTAAAAATAAATAGAGAGGGCCGGGGATTTAGCTCAGCAGTTCGGTGGCCTGCCTTGCAAATGCAAGGACCCTAATTCAATCCCCGGTACCAAAAAAATAAAAAATAAAAATAAATAGAGAGTAAGTAGGGAAGGAATGAACATTTCAGAAAATTATGTCTGAAAACTTACTTACCTAGAAGTAAATGAATCCAAAAATCCAGAGTCTCACTGGACGTGGTGGCACACGCCTGTAATCCCAGCACTCGCAAGGCTGAGGCAGGAGGATCGCTGTGAGTTCAAGACCAGCCTGGGCTACATAGTGAGTTCCAGGTCAGTCTCAACTACACAGTGAGACCCTGTCTCAAAAACCAAAAACCAAAATAAACAAAAACAAAAATCCAGAGTCTCAACCAAAACCACTATGTAAAATTCAAAGTCTGTTTTTGTTCTAGTACTGTACCCTGTTTTACTACCACTGCTTTGTACTACAGATTTGAGCTCAGATATTGTGAGGCTTCCAGCTTTGCTCTTGAGCCACAACATTGCTTTTGCTCTTCTGGGTCTCTCCTGGAGAGAGAATGAATTTCAGGGTTTTTTTCATTACATCTGTGAAGTCTGCTGTTCATATTTTGATTGGGACTGCATTGAATCTGTATAACAATTTTCAGAGTATGGCCATTGTCACAATAATGGTTCTTCCTATCCACGAGGAGGGAACACATTTTCATTTTTTTAATTGAGTTTATTGGTACATTTTAGGTATATAGTACAGTTACATTCATCATTGGGATCTTGTACCTCTACATGACAGGTCTGGGTTCTCATTTTTCCCCTTGTCCTTGCCCTCCCTTCACCTCCTCATCCCCTCCCCATTTACAAACACTTTATTTCCGTCTTTTCATTTTCTCACATTTTTTTATTTTCCCTTATTACCCTACCCCTACCCATCCCACCTTCCCTACACCTTTAGCCCTTTTCTTCCCATTTCACAGTGTCAGTTATCTCATGAGGATCTTATGTACTATTACGGTTTATTCAGACGAGAGAAACTATTTGGTATTTACAAATATGTGACTTATTTATTTCACTTAGGAGTATATCCTCAATATGTATCCATTTTCCTATGAATGAATCTAATTCCTCATTCTTTATGGCTGAGTAATATTCCATTTTATAGAAAAACCATGTCTTCTTTATCCAGTTTCCAACTTATGGGCAAATGGGCTGTTTCCAAGTTTTAGCTATTACAAACTGTGCTGCTATAAACATAGGTATGCATATATCACTGTAATATGATTCTTTTAGTTCCTTTGGAAAGATACCCAGCAGAGGGATGGCTGGGTCAAATGGAACCTCTAGTCCCAGCTCTTTGAGGTATCTCCATATTGATTTCCATCGTGGTTGCACTAGTCTGCACTCCCACCAACAATGGAGAAGGGTTCCTTTCTCCCCCACAACCCCACCAACATTTGTTATTGTGTGATTTCTTGAAAGCAGCCATTCTTTGTGGGGTGAGGTGGAATCTCAGTGTTGTTTTCATCTGCATCTCTTGAATGACCAGTGATGTGGAACACTTTTTCATATATGTACTTGCTGCTTTTACTTCTTTGTCTGAAAAATGTCTGTTCATTTCAGATGCCCATTTTTGAATTGGGTCTTTATATTTAGGGGGGCTGATTGTTTTGAGTTCTTTATATATTCTAGATAATAGTTCTTTGTCTGAGGAGCAGCTGGTAAAAATTTTTTCCCACATTGTAGGTTGTCACTTAGTTCTGTTGATGGTTTCTTTTGCAGTGCAGAAGCTTTTTAATAAGATGAGATCTCAGTTATTGATTCTTTCTGCTAGTTCTCATGCTACTGAGGATTTGTTCATAAAATCTTTTCCTATGCCAGTGTCTTCAAGAGTTCTGCCCAACTTATCTTCCAGCAAGTTTAGTGTTTTTGTTTTAATATTTAGATCTTTCATCCACTTTGATTTTAGTTTAGTGCATGGTGAAAGATAAGGGTCTAGTTTTAATCTTTGGCAGGTTGAAATCCAGTTTTGCCAACACCATTTATTAAAGAGGCTATCTTTCCTCCACTGAGGAAGGTCAGCTCCTTTGTCAAAGACGAGGTAGCCAAGTACATCTGGGTTTGTTTTTGTGTCTTCCAATCTGTTCCACTGATCCTCAGATCTGTTTCTTTGCCAGTACCATGCTGTTTTTATCACAGTGGCTTTGTAGAA